ACATTATAACTGAATGTATTTTGCGAATTACAAGATTTAAAAGTTACAGTACCGCCGGCATTAGCATTATCCAAGGTGTACCGCGTGGAGGTTGCACGCCTGCGCGATTTCGACTTTCTCTTAAAATATAAAGTGAAAGGAATATTAAATATTTTGAGTTTCGAATTCGAGCAATAGTTAAAAAACAGCATTAGCTATCGTCACTTGCATTTCATTCAGTTATTATTCTTCAGCATTGTCTTTAGAGAAATTTTGAATTGATCCTAGTATTAATTTATTCGGTTTGTCTAATTCTTCAGCTTGTCAATATGCTACGTCTTTCAGAGCGAGAACATAGAGCATATCTCTTCTGATAATGAGAGGATGGGGTGATCGATTAAGGTCGTATAATGATATAAAGTAGCTTTTTAATTAAACATTTCGTGATTAAGATACTGCCATTTCAAAATCTATTGTTAAGAGAACAATAAAGCGTTTTGAGGAAACTGGTAGTGTGAAAAATTGTGCAATATCAGGTAGACCTGCATCAGCAACAAATCCAGAAGAATCATTAGATGTTTAATCCTTCATTGAAAATCTGCATGATTCTACCCGCAAAGTAAGACAGCAAAATGATCTAGATAAAAAATCTGTGCTTGAAATATTAAAACTTATTAAATTAATATTAAAATTATTAAATTTCATCTTTATAAAGCCCACCTCGTACAAGAGTTAAGTGATGATGATTTTGATAAGCGCATTGAATTTTGTGAGTTAATGATGGAAAGAAAAGATGAAGATTTTAACTATCTGTCAAATATAGTCTTTTCAGATGAAGCAACATTTCAGTTAAATGTCCAAGTTAATCGACACAATTGTAGATTTTGGTCACATACAAATCCTCACTGGATTGAAGAAACACACACGCAGTATCCACAGAAAGTGAATGTTTGGGTAGGCATTTTGAATAATGTTCTCATAGGTCCACTCTTTATTGACGGATATCTAACGACGATAAAATATGAGAATATGCTAAGAAACGAAATAGTTCCAGCGATACAAGCAATCATGGATGACAACTTCGAGCATATATGGTTCCAACAAGATGGTGCCCCCCCCCACATTACGGAAGGGACGTCCGTAATTATTTGGACACAGTGTTTCCTCAGCGATGGATAGGTAGAAGAGGACCTGTAGAATGGCCTCCTCGATCGCCAGATTTGTCACTTTTTGATTACTTTCTGTGGGGTTATTTAAAAAACAGAGTTTATAAAACGAATCCATAAAATCTGGATGATTTACGAAATCGGATTCTTGATGAAGCTGCTATTATTCCTATTGATTATATTCAAAATGCCGTTTCATCTTTTTACGATAGGGTAGCTTTTTGTCAAACTGTTGATAGTGGATATTTTTAACAATTGTTATAAACCTTTCCAGTCTTGCCTTAGTTGGCTGGACAGTCTCGCCTTAGTTGGCTGGACAGTCTTGCCTTAGTTGGCTGGACAGTCTTGCCTTAGTTGGCTGGACAGTCTTGCCTTAGTTGGCTGGACAGTCTTGCTTCTGTTGGCTGGACAATTGGCGATCTCGCCGTGAACTAGACATCTTAAAAAGCTCGATAATTTCGAAATAACTTACTTAAAGTGGGTAAAGTGGGTAAGCTTTGAAAAGATCTGAAGAAGTGCTACAAGAACTTATCTTGTAACTCGCAAAATATTTAACGAAAAATCATTAAGTTATAGTGTTTTAGAAATCCCTTGACATAAGCTGCAAGAATATGTAATGAAAAATAGCGAGTTCCATTTAAGAAATTTAAGATGACCTTCACGTAACGCTGATAATACTATTCAAGGCCATACTGATATTGCTATGTAATGCGTTACTTGAAAACCTACAACTTTTGTCTGAAACATTTTGTCATAAGAATTATATTTCTTGATATATTTCGGGGTCCTGGTATTTTTTGCTCACCCTGTATATCTTTTATATTCTTTTGTTATAAACTGAAGATAACATTATAATAATAATATAACAGTAATGTAACACGTTATATAATAGTAATTACGTTCATATTACATTGATGTTATATAACATAATTATTCATGCATCTATTAAAAGCTGCAAATGCTTCCTATTGCGAATAAGGGCATTCCGATAAAGAAAGAAATAACAAAGCGGAACAATAACAAATAAATGAAATTGTGGAAGGCTAATCAATCAGAAATTCTGTTCCGCTTTTTTGAGGATGCTTTGTGGATGCTTTGTTGTGTAGTTCTATGTTTTTCTGTACTTAATGCCTTCATCGCGCTTGAGTAGACCGTATTGCCTATTTATTAGATGTGTGAATTAATTCGGTCCATCTGACGATCAATTGCTGTATTATATAATTTTCTAACCTCTAATGTCTGCAAAAGGCTTTATTTTTTAGTTTTGATATCTGGCAATAATATTCAGTTGAATGTTTAACGTTAAACGTTTGGGTTTGTAACAATAACATCGTGTTTATCTGATTCGAAAATGTCAAAATTCGAGCTAAAAAAGCATAATTTCCGAGAAGTTCTCATTTTCTGTTTTCATTTGAAGAAAACAGCCGCTGAAGCTCATCGAATGCTTGTAGAAGCTTATGGTGAAAGTGCTGCCACCAATAAATCATGCAGAGAATGGTTTCGACGTTTTAAAAGTGATAATTTTAGTGTCGATGACAAACCTCGTCCAGGTCAGCCGAAAAAGTTCGAGAACGAGGAATTGCAGGCGCCAATCGATGAAGATCCGTGTCAATCACAACATGAGCTCGCGCAATTGTGGAATGTTGATCGATCAACAATTTCTGTGCGTTTGGTAACCATGGGAAAGATTTACAAAGAAGGAAGATGGGTGCCATACGAACTGAAAGAAAAAAACATCGAGGGACGAAAAACTATGTCTGAAATCTTGCTTGCCAAGCGAAAAAGAAAAGGTTTTTTGCTTCGTATTGTGACTGGAGACGAAAAGTGGATATATTTCGATAATCCCAAACGAAGGAAATCCATTAGCGATCCAGGAAAACTATCCACATCGATACCAAAGCGGAATATTCACGGCAAGAAAGTAATGCTCTGTATATGGTGAGACCAGAAGGGTGTAGTGTATCATGAACTATTAAAACAGAGCTAAACCATCACTGCCGAACTTTACCAACAACAATTGATCCGTTTAAACAACACATTGAAGAATAAGCGGCCGGAATATGCAAAGAGACACGACAAAGTGATCTTCCAGCACAATAACGCTCGGCCACATGTTGGAAAGATTGTGAAGGCCACCTTGGAAGCACTTGGCTGGGACGTTTTACCTCACCCGCCGTATTCACCAGACATTGCTCCATCCGATTATCACTTGTTCAGATTGATGACACACGGGCTTTCGGACCAGCATTTCAACAATTATGGAGAAATAGAGAAATGGCTCAATGAATGGATCGCTTCGAAGGACGAGTCGTTTTTCCGTCACGGAATGCAACAACTGACAGACAGATGAGAAAAAATAATAGCAAGTGATGGCAAATACTTTGATTAGTGCACTTTTTCATGTTTTTCATACTAAAATCTTTTTTTGGAAGAAAAAAGCGAACCGAATTCACACACCTAATATATTGACTTTCATAATGCATACTCATATGTATATCCTCCAAAAACGTACGTCGAATCCACGTGAAATGCACGTTGGATTCATGTGGAATCCACAAAACCACATGGATTTCACGTGGACACAACGTTCCTGTTTTCATGGGGATATCCACACTTATACTATTTAAACGTTTAAGAACACTTGTATATTATACAAAACTCACACAGAGAAAAATTTCTTTAGACTTAATATTCTTACATGTTTGATTTTGAGTTGTTTCATTAAAATATTATATTTTTACAATATTATTTTAAAAAATAAAAACTCTATTTCATTAAAAAATACTATGTTGATGAAAAGTACGATTTGAGATATTTTTCAAAATATTTTTTTGGATTTAATAATTAAAATTTTTTATTTAGACTTCCTTGAATTTATTTCAAATTATTTTTTGGGGGGTTTACTATTATATTCCATTATCAATAATTTTGAGACATAGTCTATATTTATATTCGTCACATATCAAATGTTGTTGCGTTGTTTTAATTTTTGACAAAAAAGGTTATAATGTTATTATAATTCATATGTATATCCTCCAAGGATATACAATGAATGTTATAAAGATATATCATATAAGTACAAGTCATAAGAACATCGTTCGAGTCATTGAGATTACTGCATGCCACTCGATTCAAGTTAATGAATTCAAGTTAAATAAAGCTTAGCGTGGTCAGCATTATGGATGGGTGACCGCTTGCACCGCTTGAAATCGAAGCTATCGACGGACGCAAGACACGAGAAAATTAGGGATAATTTTTTATATAACCATATTACAGTTATATAATAGTTATATAACATTTTAGTAACATGCAATATTTCTGTTATACAGGATGTTTCTGAATGGTCTACACAAACTTTCAAGATATGTTCCAGATACCAAAACAAGCAGAAAATGTCATATGAACATGGGGTCGAAAACGCTTCTTTCTAGAGTTATAATGATTTAAAGTTTTCCTGCAGTAGAATAAATTATAAGGTTAAATTGTATAGAAGTTCCAAACTGTATTTATGGTAAATATAGAGAATTTAGGCCTATTCGCCGATTTTGATGAGACTAGGCTTATTCGATGCGTTTCTGCACGAGAAACAACTTTTTCCTCTGGCAAAATCAGCGGTCTGCCCCACGAAGCGAGATATTAAACGTTAAAGTTGGCAATAGGGTAATTATGCACTTTAGAGGATGCAGTTGGTAAAGTGACGGCGGGGGGCGGAGCCCCCCGCCTTCTTAAAAAATAACCTAACCTAACCTAACCTAGGTTAGGTTTGGTTATTTTTTAAAAAGGCGGGGGGGCGCAGCCCCCCGCCGTCACTTCGCCAACAATACTTCACTAACAATAATTATTTTTTACAGTAAGAAAGATTAATAAGCGATTTATTTAGAACTGAAATTTGGTTTAGGTTACGTTATACAACTTCACTTCGTCTTGCAAAATACATATTGAGTGAAGAGAACATCGCCACAAAAATGAAAAGAAAATGTTAAATTCTGATATGTGATTTCTTAATTATGTATGTTTTATTTATGAAATATAGATACGAATTAATCATGGGTCAGTTGTATTCCATCCTGGTGGAAAAAATTGTCCGATGGCTTCGAAGAAACCAACTATTCGGTCGTTAAATTTGTATCGCCGTTTAAAGAAAAGTTCTGCTATATATCCGATTAAATATTTTTCTCGTGTTCCGTAGCGTGAAATATTGGCTCGAACTTCTCGCCACGTTCGTTCAATATTCTGGGTATGAGCTCCTATAACAATATTACTTTATATTCTTGTTGTCTACAAGTTGTACATATACAAGTATTACACATTTTATAACTTACCAGTTCCGGAATCTACAAAATTCATTGAGTAGTTTACAGTTAAGTGAATAAAGCCTTCGTCATTTAAGCAATTGTATGCCCTCCACATATCCGACATTATCGTTGTTCCTGGCAAAATCCATTTTTTTATAATATTCAACAATGTTTCTTTGGTACGATCTTCGACCGACACAATAAAGGTTTTGCCTGTACCTCGCTCAAAGGCACCGAAAATCCATTTGCCTGTGATTAGACGTCCGCGGTTGTATTTACGCTTCCCAATTTTTGCTTCATCTATCTCGACAACAATTTCCTCTCCGCCAATTGGATTTTGTTGATTTTCAAGCCAAAGAACGCACACCTGGGATGAAATACAGTTCAAAATAGAAAATATTTTCCTTAAAAGGAAATATAATTAGTAAATAAAGTATAACTTACCTCACGACAAAAACTTGACCAATCAACAATAGTTTTATCGCTGAGTTCTAATTCTTCTTTATAGAATGCAGAGCGCGGAGGACGTATCATCAGAAAGTACCCAATAAAACGGACAATTATCGTAATATCGAGATTAGTATTGGCTAGCCATGTACCACTTGTGAAACTTTGTTTAAATTCACACTGTATGAAATTTTTTTCTTTTTATTTTTGTGTTTAATAATCACTTTTCGACACCGAAACAATGTCGACATATTTAAAGCAAGTTTATTATTACATCGCGGACATATCATTTCCGTATTTGTTATGCCACATTTTCGCAAAAATTCTATTAATTCATTTTGGCGCTCACACATCGATAGAAATTCAAATAATTTCATTTTTCCATAAATTATAATCACAAGACCACTAACAATGAACTAAAGTATTCGATCGTCGATCGGAGAATATAACTTATAATTTTTGTATCGTGACAACACGAGAATTGTTTTTGTTCCAACGTGTATATGAGAACAGTAAGTGACTTTGACTTTGATCTTCATATATATTGTCAAGATCATGATAAGACTGTTGAAATAACTAGCCGAATGTTTGTACCGAACATGTATACACACACATACACACACACCGAAGGGGCGGTACGGGTAGGGGGTCGAAAGTTGTTTTCAATCATCCTGTATAGTCGGAGGACGTATCATCAGAAAGTACCCAATAAAACGGACAATTATCGTAATATCGAGATTAGTATTGGCTAGCCATGTACCACTTGTGAAACTTTGTTTAAATTCACACTATGTGAAATTTGTATAGTCGTCAACTTTAACGTTTAATATCTCGCTTCGTGGGGCAGACCGCCGATTTTGCCAGAGGAAAAAGTTGTTTCTCGTGCAAAAACGCATCGAAGCCTAGTCTCATCAAAATCGGCGTATAGGCCTAAATTCTCTATATTTACCGCATTTATTTATTTCTACGGATATAACAAGACAATACACTTGCTATAGTAAATGCTCAAAATGGCCTCCATTAGATTCCAAGGAAGCCTGTGCACGTCGCCGCATTGATTGGCGAACCCGTTGGAAAATACCAGGTATATTATGGATGATGTTGCAGCCATCCAAGATCCGCTGACGAAGAGTTGTAACATGTGGTATTGGGATAGAATAAACAAGAGTTTTCAAATACCCCCAGAAGAAGAAATCCAATGGATTCATGTCAGGTGAGCATGCTGGCCACGGTCTCCCCCGACCTATCTATCGACCAGAATAGATCACATTTAAGGTGGCATTTATAGGTGGCATTTAAGAATTATCTGGCGAATCGACTGAAATAGGGTGGTCATGCATAAACAACATTCTTTGTCATATAGGCAATAGCATATTCTCTAGGAGTCTTGGAAGTTGATTTTCTAGGAAATCGCGATAAGTTTCATCATTTAATCTTGCTGGTAAAAAATACGGCCCAATCAAGTGATCGCTGATAATTCCTGCCCAAACATTCAGGCTAAATTGCTGCTGATGCCAAAATTTCACAATACCGTGAGGATTTTTTCTGCCCAGAGGTGATTATTGTGAAAATTAATTATTCTATCCCTGTTAAAACCAGCTTCATCCGTAAAAAGTAAAAAAGAATTAAAAACTAGATCCACACACTGCTGTAAAAATCATTGAGAAAACACCAATCTTGCTAGAAAATCTGCTGGAGAGAGTCTCTGGACTCTCTGCAAATGATATGGATAAAGTAGCTATTCATGCAGAACTCTCCATATGATAATGTAAGATATATGTTCTGCTGCTGCAATTTTTCTTGTACTAATGCTGGGATTGTTGCCAACTCGATCTAAAATATTTTCTTCAACATCAATTGTTTGAACAGTTTTTGAAACACCAGTTTCTTGGCTGTTTGAATTGCTCAGTTTCTCGTAGTCAGCGATCAACTGCTGCAAATGTTTGATGATTTGGAGTTTGACGGTCTGGAAAAGTTTCTTGGTACATTCAAGAGGCTAACCGATCCATTTCCACCGGCACGGCCATACATCAGATGGATATCCGCCAATTCTTCAAATGAATATTTATTTATATTTTTAAAATAGGCTTACAAATGAGCTTTGTAGGATATTTTCAACTGAAATGCTTGCTTTTGGAATTATGATGCTTTGAAATTTTTTAATAATTAAACTTATTACGTCAAATTACATAGTCTTACTTCAAAACAAAACAAAAACAAAACAAAAAACAAATGAAAAGCTCGAATGTAGCAAGAAACTCCAGGCCGTCGAATTCCAAACCATCAAACGTTCAGCAGTTAATCGGCGATTATGAGAAATTGAACAATTCAAGCCGGTAACAGCCAACAGTGCTTCAAGAACTGTTCGAGAACTGTTTAAATCTGATGTTGAAAAGAGAAAATTTTTCTTAAGACGGTTCTTTGAATTGTCGTAATTCTTTTTCTATTGCAGGAAAATTTCGAATCGTCATAACTTTAGTAAGTAAGCGTTTTCGACCCCATGTTCATATGATATTTTCTGCTTGTTTTGGTCCCTGGAACATATCCTGAAAGATTGTACAAACCACTCAGAAACACCCCAGATAGTACAAGATGTCCTATGGACGTCCATTTTATGTCCATTTTACGTCAACACGTCCATGAATGTGAAATGGACGTCCATCGTATATTCGATTTTGGACTTATCAAAACGTCCATATTAGGACATCCATAGGATGTCCAATGTTGGACGTCAATGGTCATTATCCAAAAATTTTTATAGTGAATTTGATTGCTTGCACTAATGCGCACTAAGTATGCTTTAAGGCTTGTTTAAATTTCGTTTGTATATACGGGGTGTCCCATTTAACCTGACAAATCGTAATATCTGGAAAACTACATGTCAGATAAAAAAAAGTGGGTAATGAAATTTGTTCGTCTCGAAGAGGGACATCCAATGATATCAAACTCGACCTCCCACCCCACTCCCGAGGGTGGGGGTGGGAGACAATTTTGAAATCTTAAATGGGAACCCCCATTTTTTATTGCAGATTCGGATTCTACGCCACAAAATACGTAAGTTTCGTCCGAAACTTTTTTCTTTATTCGTGATAGATGGCGCTGTAATCGCAAAAAATTAGATTTTCTGCAATTCTCCAGAAATGATCATTGGATTGAAAATAAAAAGATACCTGTTCAATATTTTTAAAAATATTTTTAAAAAACATAAAAACAGTTATTCCCCCTCATCCCCTCGGGGTAGGGTGGGTGGTAACGTTCAAATCTCAAATGAGAACCCACATTTTTCATTGCAGAATTAGATTTTACGTGAAGTTTTTATGGAAACAATTTTTTTCATTCGTGATAGATAGCGTTGAATTTTTCCGAGAAACTACTTTTAACGTTACCCAGGAACAACGACGAGGACGTAGTAGCTTTCTGTTCCCTTCTATTGGGTGAGTGCAAAAGTTCGTGCGGAGTTTGTGAGTAAAAGTCACACAGTGATTAGGCAAACAAAAATCTTTATTCAATCAATGATATATTCTCCATCGTTTTCTATAATCTTTTCCCAACGTTCTGGCAGCATACGGATGCCTCGATCATAAAAACTGCGCGGTTTAGATTCGAAGAACGAAGAGACGCCGTTTTTTAAGGCCTCCAAAGAGTCAAAGTTTTTTCCATTTAAATAATTTTGCAATGACCGGAACAAGTGATAGTCAGATGGTGCGATATCAGGAGAATACGGTGGATGCGTTAAGACATCCCATTTCAGGCTCTTCAGTTTGCGCAGCGTCTTTTTCGAAACGTGTGGTCTGGCGTTGTCGTGATGAAAGACGACTCCCTTGCGATTTGACAAAATCGGACGTTTCTCTTTTATTTCTCGATTCAGATTGGTTAATTGGCGACAGTACTTGTCCGAATCAATCGTTTCGCCAGCGGGGAGAAGCTCGAAATAGATTATGCCCTTGCAATCCCACCAAACAGAGAGCATCACCTTCATCGGGTGCAAACTGGCCTTTGGCATTGCGTCACCATGCTCACCTGATTGTTTCCATGTCCGTTTGCGCTGAACATTGTTGTAGAGGACCCATTTCTCATCGCCCGTCACTAGTCGATCCAAAAACAACTCGTTATTGAGCCGCCCGAGTAAAGAAACGGCTGCAGAAATTCGCTTGATTTTGTTCTTCTCGGTCAGCAAATGGGGCACCCATATATCGAGCTTCAAATCGAATCCCATCTTTTTTAAACGCCGAAAAGCGGTTGATCGGTCAACGTTTAGTGCTGTAGCAACTTCTTCTGTTGAAATTCGCGGATTATTGAGCACTAAAGTACGCAAAACATCGTCATCAATGTCAGAAGGTCGACCAGAGCGTGGCTCGTCTTCAAGGTTAAATTCTCCGCGCCGAAATTTAGCAAACCATTTTTCCACAGTTCGTTTAGCTGGTGCTTCATCCTGATAAACATTCTGAATGTTTTTTACGGCTGCGGCAACGTTTATTCCCTTCCGAAACTCGTAAAGCATAACATGCCGTAAATGCACCTTATCGATACTCATTTTTAAAGTGATATTTCTCGAAGCAGTTTGTATGAAAACAAATGATTTTTTTTTTAATAACAGCTGAAGACGTCACCTTTCCAACGTTATATAATATGTAGATGGAAGTATTAATGACAACACTTTACGCTTATAACTCCATCTATTGAAACTCCGCACGAACTTTTGCACTCACCCAATACTTGGGTACTTGTTTTAGGTGAGTCCACTCGCCTCTCACCATCGGAGTGATTTTGCATAATTAATTTGTTAGTGGCATCTCTTCATCGTCCGCGCCCATAGAACTTAAGAGACGATCATTATTAGACACTTACCTTTCTAATCAGGAGAGGTGCTTAATCAATTTTTGAAGAGTGTTCCATGCCACTATCATTCTCTTCTGACTTTGCATCATGGATTATGTAACTGTGCAAGAAAAAATTGAAATGATTTTCATTTATGGCGAATGTAGGAGAAATTTTGAAAGTAATTTCTCGGAAAAATTCAACGCTATCACGAATGAAAAAAATTGTTTCCATAAAAATTTCACGTACAATCTAATTCTGCAATGAAAAATGTGGGTCCCCATTTGAGATTTGAACGTTATCACCCACCCTACCCCGAGAGGATGGGGAGGGAATAACTTTTATTATGTTCTTTAAAAATATTGAACAGGTATCTTTTTATTTTTCAATCCAATGATCATTTCTGGAGAATTGCAGAAAATCTAATTTTTTGCGATTACAGCGCCATCTATCACGAATAAAAAAAAAAGCTTCGGACGAAACTTACGTATTTTGTGGCGTAGAATCCGAATCTGCAATAAAAAATGAGGGTTCCCATTTAAGATTTCAAAGTTGCCCCCCACCCCCACCTTCCGGGAGTGGGGTGGGAGGTCGAGTTTGATGTCATTGGATGTGCCCCTTCGAGACGAACAAATTTCATTACCCACTTTTTTTATCCGACATGTAGTTTTCCAGATATTACGATTTGTCAGGTTAAATGGGACACCCTGTATATAGAGGATGCTAAATTTCAAACGTAACAGGTAAAAAATCTCGAAAACTGTGAAAGATATTAAAAAAAGCTAAAACATGTATTCCATGATTTCGAAGGGGAAAGAGAATGGCATTATCTGTTTCTTATTTGGGCGGCATTTTCAAGGTCAATTGAAGGTCAATTTAATTTTTTAAAATAGAAACTCCAATTTTTTATTATATTTTCTTTTTCTACAAATTAATTTTAACAACTTGTGTCTGAAACATTTTTTATTTGCCTAATATTTTGTGAAATATTTAAGGAAAACTTGGTAACTTTTTCAACATTTAACTTACGATATCTCGTTAACTATTCGTCAAAAGAAAAAATAATATTATACTTTTTTACTTTATTTACTATCAAGAATATATTACTATAGTAATGCCCTAACTTTTGTTAATTTAATAATTTTGAAATTAAATTTTACATATTGATATATTATAAAAATTAATATTTTTTGCATTTCAGAATTTTTTTGTTGTTGATAAACCTTTCCTTTACGTATTTTTGAATGTTTATTTTGCTTATAATTACAAATAGTGGAGAATTGAGAATGATGCCCATTTTAGATCCTTGATTTGGATATTCTATGGACGTCCAGAATTGTGAAAAACGAACATTCTATAGATGTCCTATGAACGTCCGTCGGATTTTCTTGGATGTCTTATGGACGTCCCGAAGTCCAAATTCGAACGTCCACTGGACGTCTGTTGGACGTCCATGTATTATGTGGGACCCCGTATAAGTACAACTTTCTATGAATGGGAAATTACAACTAACATATAGGGTGTACGAAAAATATCGAAATCCCTTAATATCTCAGAAAATACGTATTTTAGAAAAAAATGTTTCATACAAAGTTAGTAAGGTTTTACATGGCATTAAGGTGCATTACATGGCAATATTATTATGACCTTGAATAGTTATCAAGGTCATGTGAAGATCATTTTAATGTGCCTCGACAGCGGGCCCGAAGGTGGCGGTCGAGGAGCCACTCCTGATCCGTCAGGGGCCTTCTCGACCGCCTCGGGCCCGTCTCCGTCCGCGCAGGGGGGAGGGGCGACAGGCCTAGAGCCTGCCACTCCCTGCGCGACGGTAAGGGAGGAAGAGGGGGAGTGGGAGTCCCGTTTGGAGACGCCCCCCCTCGACCAACAAGGGGGGCTAGGAGAGAGGATGGGTGTCCCCTCTCTCTTCCGATTGGACCAGGAGGCCAATCCGACCGGGTGACCGGTCGGGGCACCGCGCCACACTCCTGAAAGGGAGGGACGCGGCACTTGGGCGAGGGGCTCCCTAAGAGCCCCAGGGCCAGAGTGTCGGGGAAGGAATACCGGCGTAGTTCCCCCGATTCCCCCCACTCCCGCTCGCCTGGCAGACACCCCGGTGGGGTTTTAGCTGGTAAGAATCCGGCATAATCCTCATCCTTCCCAAGGGGCGGGGATATGAGGATTTTCCCACCGTAATAAAAAAAAAAAGAAAAGGTCATCTTAAGTTTCTTAAATAGAACCCCTTATTTTTCAATACATATTCTTGTAGCTTATCTCGAGGGCTTTTCAAAACACTATAATTAAATGTTTCTTCGTCAGTTTTCAATTATTTTTCGAGTTACAAGATTTAAAAGTTGCAGTACCGCCGGCATTAGCATTACTCAAGGTTTACCGCGTGGGAGTTTCATGGTCGAATTTACACGTCTTTTGTGTGTGCGTGTGTAAGATGTACCGTCGATTTTGCTATTTTCATTTTTGTGTGCGAAAATCCTATTTCCAATTTTAACATTAGACTGGCATACTGTCAGAGTGTTAATGGCCAGCAATTTGAGCATTTATTATGAATGCAAACGCTCAGAAACATGTGACGGTATTTACGCACACTTAAATAAAAATATGTATGTATGCACACACGAGGCCACACGTCACACGCTCGCGCGCGAACTTGCAAAAGAGATGTAAATCCGACCATGCAATTTCCATGCGGTAAACCTTGAGTAAAGCTAATGTCGGCAGTACTGCAACTTTTAAGTCTTGTAACTCGAAAAATACCTAATGAAAAAACATTTAATTATAGTGTTTTGGAAAGCCCTACTGTGGGATATCGCATTCGACCGGGTACTTCGCTCCGTCCTCCCCTCCGGCTGCCACGTCATCTGCTACGCAGATGACACCAGTAGTGGCTGGGGGGAAGGATTGGGGGAATGCCTGCCTCCGAGCCGAGGCGGCGCTGGCATCAGTGATGGGCTCCATCGGGAGCCTGGGCCTTAAGGTGTCGCCCCGTAAGACGGAGGCCGTCTATTTTCACGACGGCAGCCG